GTTGGTCCTAGTTACACTTTGAGTTTTTGTGTTTCACAAGAGCCCCCTCCAAATGTAAACCTGTTTTAGCATTCTTGTACATTAATGTCATGATTCTCCAGTTGTAGCTCCCACAACTTCTGCCACAGACAAGTCAATCAGATTTGGTATATGCCCTGGAAGGGGAAATGGGAGGTCTGGGTTTAAAGCAAACAAAAAAGAATCGTGCCAGTGCTCTGCAAGGTGTTGGATCCAACCTCGGTGGATCTGCTGAAGTCTTCAACTCAAAACACTTGGTGATGTAAATTAAGGTAAAAAACCAAAACAGTTTAACCTATTGAACTTAGAGAAAAGAAGAAAGCGGCAGACCTTTTAGGAAGAGAGATACCGTGTACAGGTGCAAAAACGTGATGTGCTGTAGTTCACCACCTTAGGAGTAATCAGAGTTTTGCTTGGTTTGGGTTTGGTTTTCTTAAGCACTTCCCAAAGGGTGGCTCGAGAGTTTATGCGCACCAAGGTGGAAGCATGAAGTGAAGACATGCCAAAAACGTCAGGTTTTCTTAACCCCTTCTTGAAACAGTGCACCGTGGTTCTGGTAAAAACGCATAGCTACCAAATCTCCACTGACCGCGGGCCACTTGCCTACACATCAATTTGCAGCCTCAAAGCTGACGTTTTTTGCCTTCTCCTTCCACCCACCTCCCCAATTTTTTGTTCCTTGGGAGACATACAGCGCCACTGCATTAGAACGTACAAGAAATGAAAACAGTGAGTACGACTGATATAGATCCATTGACTTTTTATTACAAATGTAGTTGATCACTTGGCTTCAAAAAAGTTTAAATCAACCCCTGTTTTCTGTACGCCAGTACAAAGTAAAATCTATTTTACAAATTAAATACCTAAAAATTTGACAAAAATATTAAAGTTTGATGGAAAAAACAGTTATAAAAATCTTAAATCCCCCTTTAAGAAGGTAAGAGATAACATCCCCTCCCAACCCCCACAGTCCTGTTATACAATATTAATAATCATTTTTCTTTTTAGAATAGGTAGGTATGTTATATCTTGCTGTTAGCATACAAGTCACTCTAATAGCTTTATCTGTATATACTCCAGTTAGTGCATGAATGTCATCTGATTGAATATAATCAACTATCTTTAACTGATCCCTAATTTACATTTCATAGCTTGCATAGTTTGAAGGGACAAAGGTTATACTACAGCTAATCATAAAAAAAGGTGGTTACAGTGCTATTTGTAAAGGCAACAAAGTAATTGCTCCCCCCCAAACAAAAAGATACCAGTCGGCTCTGGGCAGGGGCTCAAGTCACCGGCCGCTCTCTCCCTGCTGCATGGGACCACCTCTGCCTTGCACCCTGCCCACAAGGGCAGCCCCTCTGACCTCACCGCGGTCCCGTGGCAGGTTGCGAACCGCATTCCCACCAAGCACATTTCAACCCCTGCGAGGGATACGCAAGAAAGTGACACTGTCAAGTATTCAGTCTTTTTTTTTTCTTTTTCCCATTTTCCTGTTTTTATCAATTAGAATTTTCCAAAGAAGCTCTCCTCTGCATTAGGGATACACCGTGCTGGAAGCCCAGCATCCTGCCTGTTACCCCACTGCTGAGCTGCTGCCCATGGGCATGGGACCCCCAGCCCCAGCACCAGGATGGGTCCCAAGAGGGAGCATGATGAAGAAGCAGGAACCAACAGCAGCTCATTTTGGTTCTTTATTATTTCACTTCTCAGAGACAGAGCAATTTTCCTCTTTTTTTTTTTTTTTATTTTTTTTAACAACAACCAAAAAAATACTTTAAATTCGGAGCACATTTCTCCATTAGCACAAAACCACTTACAGGGTGGTTGTATTTCAACTGTAAATTACTTGACAGTGTCCTTTTAACTTAAAAAAATAAAATAAAATAAAGTCAGTATTGCAATGAATTTCAAGTTTTCTTGCACGTAGTCATTATAAAGTAGTTTTTGTCATGCTCTTGGACCTATTCTACAAGACATTTAAAAGCATATCAGCAAGGAAAATATAAGGCATACTTCTCAGGAATTAGGTATCTTGGCACATTTGAGCATACTGTCTTATTTTAAAACAACACATATGGTCAAATATACCTTTCTTCTTCTAACATTAAACAGGGTTTTCTGTACTTTGTTTTAAATACTGATATATCAGAGCCTTGGTAAAGTACCGAGCACCTCTGGGAAAAACAAAAATAAGCAAAAAAAAAAAAGAATATCAAACCAAAAAGAAAACCAGGAGCGAAATCCCACGAACCTTTACAGTCATTTTGTCTTTCAATTAGCATCATTCATCAAGTCCTAGAACATACATAATGTGCATTGAAAGAAGTAACAAAAAAAAACCCTATGAAACACGCAGAGGAAACCCAAAACGAGACAAAAACTGACCACAAGTTCTCAGACACTGTTCACAGAACTGCCAGGGGGCTGTACTGGTGGGACTGGTTGGACTGGAACCACGCGGCCCCTGCGCTGCTCGAGTCAGCCGGATCCCAGGCAGGATCCAGGCGGCGCGGGTCAGAAGACCCCTCGTTGGCCATGGAAAGCTACAGGAGGACACTCGCTGCGCTCTCATCGCCTCCCGCTACTCATTGCTGGGCACACACCGTGGCGGCGTGGAACTACGAGCACCGGCCCGTGTCCGTCGGCAGCGCGACAACTTTAGGGAGGGCGGTGAACAGCAGGACCGAGACAATCAATCAGTCAAGTAGCAAAACCAAAGCAATTCATGTCCTAACTACGTCTAGCAGCATGGAGAATGCAGTCCTGCACACATCACAGTTGAAGTACAATAACCGATGGAACTGCCCATCCAGAGCCTCCGATTCAAAAGCAGGTTATCAGACAAATGTTTACATGTAATTGAGAACCATGTCAAATGTCACATTACGCACTCCAAAAGCTTATTTTACTACTGGGAGAGAGGAAAGTGCACATTAAAGCAATATTAAACATTTCCAGTGATTGTTTAAAAGAAACAGAAACACCTCGCTACCGGCAGCTTATAGTTAACTTTCTGTGAACACCAACAGCAAAACTTCTGTCAAGGGAAATAACGCAGGGTACAATGGAGACAGCTTGTTTGGACACTTACAGTACATCTCAAAAGGAAAAAGAGAAAGGGAATTATAAATTCAAATGGGAATAAAAAGACATCAGGAAATAAAATTCCTTATAACAAACTTCTTTCTTTTTGTTTTTCTCCCCACCCTTCCAACACTCCATCCTTGACCACCAGTTAAGCAGCGCAGCCGCAAGGTCTACCAGCTTCCAAAACCATTAAAACGACTGCATCCCAAAAAAACTTTTGAGTGGACCAAGATCCTAGTTTCTCTGAAACGCTGTCTACTGCATTCCATCCAAGAAAAGGAAAGAAAAGGAAAAAGAAAGAAAGAAAAAAAAAGTTTTGTTTTCACTGTTTAAGGCATCTTTTTATAACGTTTTTCTCTTCACTCATAACGATGATAGTCATGCAGCACTTTAATGATAAAAATATATTACTATTTTACTATACAGCAGCAAGTTAGTCAATTAAAAGCACACCGACTTTTTTAAAAGGAAAAAAAGAAACAAAACCAACAAAAAAGAACAACCTGTAGAAGTCTATTATTATTATCATCATCATTATTATTACAAACAATTTCAATTTGGAGAACACACCTGGACAGCTCAGTGTTCTGACCAATCTACCCTTCCCTACCCTAGGCTTCGAGCAGAGCCCGCAAGCGCGCACGGAGCTGCTGGGACGGGGAGGGGAGGGCATAGTCAAGGCTCGCCAGGTATGTAGCCAGTAATAACTAGCACCAGAGCTACATGGAAATCCGTTACAGACACACACCGGCTTGGCTCCCACTTTTAAAACCCCGTGGCTCAGTGGGGTTACTCTGCGATGGCACCGCTCTGATTTCTACCAGCCTGCAGAAGTTAACGGCACTGGCAGGGGGGTCCCAGCGTGGGTTCGGACCTTGCACCACGTTAGGAGATAAGAGACAGTGCTCGTGCCAGTGGCGACACAGAAAGACTTGCTACCTGCTGCCCAAAGACAGGTCGACTGGAAACCGCTGCACATCAGGTTAAGTACTTTTAAGTACACAGAATAAAAAAAATATATATTATGAACAATACAAGTACATCTCATATACACAGCAATGACAATAGGCCTACTCAGCTGTAAACCAAACAGGTGCAGAAAAAAATTAGTACGGGAGGAAATCCTTTCCTTTTTTTTCTCTCTCTCTCTTTTTTGCCTTTTTTTTCTTTTCTTTTTTTTTTTTTTTTTTTTTTACTATTTGAATAACTTTGGTTCAAACGTAAAAATCACAAGTTAGCAAATTTCATTTAAATGCCTTTTTTAATAATTTTTCTTCATGTTCACAGAAGTTTCACTGACCATTTTTATATGTTTAAGGTCCAGATGCAATGCATATTGTATAAAAGAGAGCACTTATTGTTTACCTTGCATGAATTAAACCTACGTACCTTTTAACTCTACAAACTTCTGCATAACATTTAGACAAAGCTCAGACACACAGCATGCCTAGCCCTCATATATATATACACATCTCTAATCACAGGTATATAGGGTGTCAAATATACTATAGTAACCTCCATTAAGGTTCGAAATTTGGTAACAAAATGAGAAGAAAAAACTAAAAATATTATTTTACGTGTTCTAAAATATCTCTTTTTTTTTTGTGCTAAAGTCAAATGTTAGCTCAACATGAAAAGGACTTTTTTTTTATATAATTCAGCAATATTATAATCTTGACCATTTTTGCAAACACTTTTAATAATAATAGCTTAAACGTGTACAAAAGTTCTCGGTTAATTAGGGAAATAAACACTCAGTTCTTTATATTTTTAATCAAGTAGGAAACACAGTTCATATATAATGTTATTACTTTTTTTTTTGACTCTTTTTTTTTTTGTGTGTTTTGTTTTGTAATTTTTTTTGTTTTTGTTTTGTTTTAGCAGCTGCTTACTGTTTGATACGGTGGGTAAAGTGGAGGAACATCCAGCGATGGGTGGCGGGTCGGAGGCGCTGCTGCCGGGCGGCGGGCGGGGGGCGCCGGGCGGGCGGCGCTGCCGGGGGGGGCTCCGGGCCGAGGGGAGGGCTTCTCGCCACCGCCCCCCCCCCGCCCTCCCGCCGCCCCCCGCCCGCCCTCCCGCCGGCGGCGGGGCCAGTCCTCGTCCCGGGGGGCGGGCGGTCAGTCCTCCTCGGGCTCCTCGGCCTGCAGCAGGGCGCCGGGCGGCCCGGCAGCGGCGGCGGCGGCCTCGGCCTCGGGGGGCGGCTCGGCCCCGGCGCCCGCGGGGGGGGCGGCGGCGGCGGCGGCTCGCTTGTCCCGCTGCTTCTCCTGGATCTTCTTCATCTCGTCCGAGTACTTGCAGAAGGTGTGGCCGAACTTGGCCCAGACCTTGTAGGGGACGGTGATGGAGTTGCGGTAGGTGGGCTTCACCTCGCTCACCCGCATGAAGACACCGTACTTGTTGGAACCCACGTCGAAGAAGAAGCGCTTGTTGTCCACAGTCAAGGAGGTGCCCTCGGGCAGCTCGGCCGGCTCCTCCTCCACCCCGTAGTCGTCGATGAGCTTGGCCAGGGCGTCGCGGAACTCGATGAGGCCCTGGGCCGGCAGGGCGATGGTCTGGCCCTGCGTGGAGCCCAGCCCCGGGCCGCGGTTGACGGTCTGGCGGACGCGGAGGAAGCGCCCGCGCTGGTTCTCCTTCAGATCCATGTAGTACTTGCGGTTCTCCCGCACCAGGAACTCGCTCTTGAGCGCCCGCCGGGGCTCGTCGGCCGCCTGCGCCAGCTCGGGTGGCTGGCTGGGCCCCAGCTGGGCGTAGTGCTCGATGAAGTCGCCCAGGTAGTCGCGGAACTCGACGGCCACCGACATGGAGAGGGTCAGGCGGCTCTTGTTGCCGCCCGCCCCCACCTCAGCGATCTTGAGGAAGCGGCCCTTGGCGTTCTGCTTCACGTCCAGGTAGAAGCGCTTGTTCTGGATGTCCACCCGCTTGGAGGCCAGCTCCTGCGTCTCATGCTGCAGGCCGCCGCCCGGGCCCCCGCCGCCGCCGCCGCCGCCCGAGCCCGGCCCCCCGGCGCCCGCCGCGCCCCCGCCGCCGCCGCCGCCCTGCTCGCTGCCGCTGTCTCTGTCCGCCATGATGCCGCCGCCCGCCGCCGCCGCCGCCGCTCGGCCTCGGCCGCCGCCGCTTCTCTCCCGGCGCCCCCCCCGCGCCGCCGCCCGCGCCGCCGCCTCCGCCGCCGCCTCCTCCTCCTCCTCCTCCTCGGCCGCCCCCGGCCGCCGCCCGCCGCCGCCGCCGCTCCGCCCGCCGCCGCCGCCGCTGCTGCAACAGCCCCCGCGGCCACCAGCCGGCCGCTCTCGCGAGATCTGCGGGAGCGAGGAGAGGGCGCGGGAAGGCGGCAGAGAGCGGCCCCCGCCGCCGGCCGCCCCGCCGAGCCGGGCAGCAGCGCCGCGCTCCGCCACCGCCACTGCCACCGCCACTGCCACCGCCGCTGCCACCGCCGCTATCACCGGAACCCGTGCCAGCGGCGCCTCGCCGCCCCTCCCGCCTCCCGAGCTCCTTCGGGAGGGATGCTCCCGGGAGGAAACCGCGCGGGAGACCGGGAGCAGCGGGGTCCGCCAGCCCGCACATCCCGATGCAGCCATCCCTGTGCCGGGGCAGCGCTCAGCATCGGGGTACCGGGCGGAAGGGCTTCCCGGGTGGGAGCGTGGAGCGGCATGTGTATTTATTGGGGGCTGATAATTAAATGCATTAATACATCCATGGCGGGGACCGGGAGCGCCGGACCTGACGGAGCGGAGCGGGAATGGGGACCGGAGTTGAAGGGGCAGGTGCCGGCGGGCAGTGTACCGCCAGCATCACCTCGCAGGGTCCCCCCAGTATTCCCTCGCAGCGACCAGTTGGCTTTTTATCCAAACGCTGCTCTCCGGGGCGGTTTGGAGATCTCTGAGCTTCCAGTCCCTATTGCCAAACCCCGGATCCCAAAACCTGGATCCCAAGCCAGCTCCACCCCAAATGAGGATGCTTCCTCCCGGTGTTGAGGGCCACCGAGCAAACTGCGTTTGGCTGAAAGTCCCTTCCCGGCCCGCTTCCCTGCCTGCTGCTGCAAGGGCACCGGGTGCAGACTTGTGTGAAAGGCACTGATTTACCTCGAGCATCCCAAATCCCTGCAGGCGCTACACAAGGCAGTCCTGCTGCCAGGCATGTTTAGTGGTGGCCCGTGGAGGGCTCTGCACATTCATCCGGGAAAAAGAGAGTTAAACATGTCTCAGGGCCTTAGGTGTCATGGGAGGGACCCCCAGTCTGCCCCATCGTTGTGATTAAAGCCTTGGTTATTACTGATTTCATGGGTAATAAAAAAAAAAGGAAAGCAGCTTCCTTTCCACCCAGAAGCCATGTTTCGGAGCTCCAGTGGGTTGCAGCTTGCAAGCTGTCAGCAGCTGTATGGTGTCTGATAGAAAGGCCCCGGACACCTGGGACACACTCTGCTTTTCTGCCTTTCATCTCACCCGGACATAAGACCTCTCCCGGTGGGCTCCTGGTGTGGGAAAGGTGCAGCCAGGCCAGGGCTGAGGGCTGGTGCTCTTGCAGTCCCTCACTCTTGATTTCATGCTGAAGACAAATGACATTAAAGCACCTTAATTGCAGCCTCTTGCTGACGCCAGCAGGTATCCTTATGGAGCCCAGACCACTTCCTTATTTATACAGTAGAGCTGGGAAATGTGTAACTGCTGAGGAAGTGCATTTGGGAAAAAAATGGCACTTGGGAAGCACTGACTGGTTTGCCTTTGACTGCAATGGGGTGAGAATTGCTGGTGGTGATGATGGTGGTCATGTGCCGCCAGCAGCAGAGGTTATTTCCCCCCTCAACAGCACTAACACAGGCCAGTGTTGCTGATTTCAGAAGGGGTGCACACCAGGTGGATGCTGGTGATTCCAGAAACAGAGCTGCCAACATTTCTCCTTTGATGGAATTGTGCTGGTGGGACCCTGCTTGTCCAGCATAATGCTGTGTTGCCATTCACAGGAGCTACCCAATCCTTTGGATTTGAGTCTGAATTTGGCTTGAATACAAGCATTTACTTATTTAGGTAAACAGAAAAAAGCAAAAAGTGCATTTTTTTTTTTCTTCCCAATAGGTAAAATCTTTTTCAATAGGCATATCGTGTGTCTGGTCATGACTGTGCTGCAGTATTGGTCTGCTCAGCGCTAAAATTAGCTCATGTGGACAAGGGAAGCCTGGGATGACTGCTTGAATGAGATGAGGGGCAAAACAGGATGGATGAAGGCAATGGACAAATGCAGGAGCCAACGGAATCTTTTCATACTTTGTACAGGTATAGCCAAAGGCTGGATAGGGATCTTGCAGGGACCTCCTAGGTCACACGCTGCCCTCCCTTGCTTTTGCAGTCATATCAATACATCCCATATGTTTAAGCAGGCTTCATGCTAGGCTTCTTCTGTGGGTTCTGCTGAAACCCATTCCAGACCTCTTTGCTCTGAAAATCAGGAATGTTTTCATCCCTAGCCTACATCTATCAATGTCTTCTTTATAGCTCCACAACTTTCAGCTTGGAGCTTTCACAAGGTTTTCTCATGCTTTCTCCCCTTCCACGTGTCTCTCAGTAGCAATTATATCCCCTTCAGCCCTTGTTCTGGTAGTCTAAGTTTATCATAAGATAAATCCTCCTTTCTTTGACTGTTTTAGTCATCCTTTATCACACCAGTCTCAGTTCCTCTGAAAGACAAGGGAGAAGGTTTGCAGGGTAATGGCTGGGATTTCAGGCTTAGGATCAATGGGACTTTTGTTTGGGAATCCAGTTTGGAGGGCTTTTAAGAACATATCTGATCATCGCAGTGAGCATCTCAAAGTTTGGAGCTCAAGCCTGTTATTCAGCTACAAAACAACAACTGCTGACTCCAGGAACTTGTATGAACATTTATAATCACAGGAGGGAATCTAAGAGCCATTCAAACAACAGATACAATTAGTAACGAAAGTGGCTGGGATGCAATTGTTATTGTGCAAGTCAAAGAGAAGGCTGTCACACATGAAGGATGCTGCCAAGAAAGATGCATTCAAGTTGCAGAGCCATTCTTCTCCCATCTGCTGTCCGAATTCTCTTGCAGTCTCTCCAGATCTATTCAGGCTAGTTGGGCGATCTGAGTTTAGACTTGCCATGGGACACAGCTTTCTGCCAGGATGTGTTAGATCTTTGCCTTGGTCCAAAAGGGATTATATTCTGGTTCAGAGTGTTTCCTGAGCCATGATGGAGGTTAGAGCAACAAAGCAAAGCAAAGTTGTCATTACCATCTCTTGGAGCCAGAGAAATTAGAAGGCAGTTACAGCAGTGTGGGGATGTCTGAAGCTGCACAAAGGCTTAGACCAGCCCCCAAATTGGAGCATGTAATCGGATGGTGAAATCTTCCTTTGCTTTCCATCTGGGTCTTCTTCAGAGCGTGCCTTTGGAGAGGGGAGTCCAGCATGGCTTGTGCACTGTCTGTGGGGCATCAGTTGCCCTGTGAACAAGCCCCATCGTGTGCAGTGAACAAGAAACTAGCACATCACATCTGTAAGTCATTTACGAAGATGGGAACGATGAGCTGTGCACACAATAGAGTTGCTATTAGGCCTGTCGATCCTAATTAGAAAAATACATCTCAATTAAAATTATTTATAAAAAGAAATCACAGTGACCCTAAATCAAATTATTTGTGAATGGGTTTTAGTCTCCCAGATCAGTTAAAACTCCTGTGTCAGTCACTGGACGTCATCCAAACTACATGCTGAATGAACAACATGTCTGCCAAATTCCAATTTTTTTTTCACCCTCGCCCAGTTTGGCACAGGACAGTTAAAGTAATTTTTCTGAATATCTTTCAGAACATCAAGCAACTGTGAAATAACAATGGAAGAGCTTGGCCACGGTTAACTACAGCCCTCCAGTTGTAACCGCTTCTCTCCAGAGAAGTCACTTTGTTTTCTTTGATGCTCCAGTTGAGCACTGAGGCTCCCTGCAGGGAGACTGGCTTCCAGGTCTTCAGCAGTGGGGCACAGCTGGATCTAGGCTGACCTTGGGTACAGCCTAGATCCAAGGGTTTGTGTCTCTCTGGCCACCTGCTACAGACTGATATCCTGAGGACATACCAGCCATTCCTTGCCCACAACAGCAGCCCACAACCCATGGTGAGCTGTACAGATGCCTCTTCTGCTTGCTCTTCAGGAAAAAAGCAAGAGGAAAAAAGGGAATCAGTGACTGCACAATGGCAGAACAAGTTCTTGTTTCTTGTGTCTGCAAAGATAAAGTGCTAATTCTTGTAAGCACCACATGAAATCCCATCCAAGTGAATTAAGTTTGGAACTTTTCATGATGGCTTGTTCCAATTATGCAGTGTTTTCTCTTTTCTCTTGACTGGCCTGCAGGTCTCCCTGCTACCCTTTTCTCAGCAAGCTGGCTTCCCCTTCATCAGTTCTTTCTCTTTTTGGCCATGGAAAACTCTGCGGTGTCATCACCTTCAGGGAGCGAGGATCCTGGCCAGTTCTTGGTTCTCCAGCTCCCCACATAATCCAGTAGTGCTGGCTGCTGTTTTGTTGAAAACTAGCAACAAATGGCCACCAAATTCTAATCTTGTTCAGTGTTCAGTGACAAAGATTTACAATACCAGGGCTTTCTGCTCCTTGCCTCCTAAGGAGGAGTAAGGAGTAGAGCCCAGCATCATGTACAGTAGTTATCAAAGGTTATGCAACCCCTAAAAGTTACAGTGCCCTGGCCTAACACCAGAGACCTATCCCCATATGGACTGGGCTACGCTCACCCTGCTTTATAGCAGCTTACCTTCCAGATCCAGCTGGCTTGCTTTTCTCTAGTTGAAGCAGTGCAATGCCTGTTGCTGCCTTTCCCTCTTCCCATGCCCAGGGCATTGGCTGGGAAGGTGCTTCTTCCCCAGGGTTGTGCAGGAGAATGGCCATAGCTGGCTTGGTGGGAGAGCTGGCTTTGACTCCTGGTGCACTACTTGGCCTTTTATTAGGATGAGGACACTCCTGTATTTTTGCTGTACAATTCCCACTGTCCTCATGCTGCCTTTCTTGTTTCTCCAGAGCTGTGCCCAGATGGTCTTGGGATACTGTTCCTACAGGCATGACTGGAGGTCC